CGTCGGCCATGTTGTGGGCCTCCAGCCGCCTGCGCTGTCCCCTGTCCCCGGCAGTGTTGGGCCAGGCGTTGCGTCGTCTGCCCCGCCTGAACCCCTCCCCGGCGCTGCCACCCTCCCTTGTGCCCCAGCCTCTGTGATGGCCTGGGCCCCAGGTGGCCTGCCAGCCCGAGGTGGTGGGCAGCGGGAGCCGGCGGGCTGCCGGCCTCGTGACGGGGCACAGGCAGCCCAGGGACCCCGCCGAGACCCTTCGGAGCATTGCTGGGTGCCTCGCGAGGGAGGTGATGGGCCTCCAGCACGCCTCCACAGGTGGCTGCCCCATCGGAGCACAGCGGTTCAGTGAGCAGTACCCCACCACGAAGAGAAGGGGGCACTGGCACAGCTCTCGGCCTGGTCCCTGCCCACATGTTGCAGGGTCACAGTCTGAGAGAAAATCCCACAGATGTTTGTTGCCATGCTCAGCCCTGCTCCTGCGCCTGGCTGCTTTTCTGCTTCCAGGTATCTGGTACAGAGCATGGCAAGCAAAAGGGGAATCTGACTCATACACTTGCTAGTTTTCTCTCCAGTGCTCACGTTTCGAGTTGGGCAATTTAAAAACTGACTTTATAACAGGTTGTTTTTTTTAAGTATGTTCTACTAGTTTGTTCTTGTGTCACTTTTATACTCCCCTTTATGCACACATTCAAGCAACCACGTTCTTCCAGCATAAATAATGAAAAGTGAATTTCAAGAGTGTACCTGTAAATATTAAAACCACATTTTAAAGGGCTGTGTGCTACACATGACAGAGGTATTTGCATGCTCATCCCCTTCAGGATCAGAAACAATTCCTCAAGACTTACTTAAAAATAACAGTTACAACTTAGTACTATTTGAATAGCAAATACCAGTTTTTGAATGCACACATGGAACATTTATGATTGATACGTAGCATTAAAAACAGTGCACAAGGAAAAAAATGAGGCAAGCCTCTTCAAACAGTGGATGCACTTGAAGACATCAGGACCCGCTCATGCATATTCAACTTGGGGGGGAAGGGCAAATCCGTTATATACATTACCTGTTGCAGATTCTTTGCTCAGTTCCACTCCTTTGCAGTGGGAAACGCGGACTGAAGCAGGGGAGTGATGTTAGACCCGGTGGAGTTGCAAAGGAGATCAGGAGCCAGCAGCAGCAGCTTCCCCATTTCAGAGCCAGCAGAAGGGTGCAGTGCTTGCTCCTGTGATGTTTTAATGATGGGCCTGGTAAGACCCATCAGTATGGAGAGCGTACGGGCACAAGGCCTAAGAGCTAAGGACCAGGGTAAGAGCTGCTGAAACTCTCTGTAAGGGAAGAAGGTTATGAGGGATGGAAAATCCTGCCAAAAACTCAAAGCAGACAATAAAGCAGATCTAGCCGAGTCTGAGCAAGGAGCCTGTGTGTGGGTGTCAGGACCTCTCAAAAGCAAAATAGGGAAGCGGATGTAAGAAGCAACAAACCAATCTATTCTGATCCATTTTTATTTATATACTGCTGATGGAAAGCCCTACAAATGCTTTCTGCTGCTTGGATAAAAATCCAATTCAATGCATTGATAAAATTCAAGAGAAAGCAAGAGGTGATGGCAGACTGACGCAGCCCCTTCCCATGTCCCCCTCCCAGCCACCCTGAGGAAGAGGAGCCAGCAGGTTTGCAAAATCCATCATTAAAAGGCAAAAAGAGAGCTAACAGAGAGAGAAAGGGAAGACACTGAATTGTAGGCCGGGCGGGCAGAGAGGTGATGGAGCAGCAGGGATACAGTGAGCCCCACGTGAGAAGTGATAGCAGGGTAGCAGTGGACTGGACCAAGCACCAGGAAGACGCTGGTAGCGGGCGAGAGGCTGTAAATCGTAGTGAACTCTTGTGTAACCTTGTCATATATCAACCTGTGCAGACAAGACCTATCTAAGCAGGCACAAGTAGGTGTTAATAACAGCACAGGAAGAGTCTGGAGGCAAATGAGGAGAGCAGCTGCTTAACACAGTGTTTAATTCAACCGCAGAGCCGCTGCATGTCTCAGCCCATGCAACTGGCTGGTGGGGACCGAGCGACACCATTCCCAGCCAGTGGAATAATGGACACAATTTCTTCTCTCTCCGGAACGATGTTTACTGGCTCCATCTCATAACCTTTCACTGCCTCATCTTCAGTGGTCCTGAGGACAGGATCCTCTTCCTTAAGCAAGGGCTGCTCTCGAGGAGCCAACTGGCACCTGTGGCCGACAAGCTCGCTCTGGCGCTGCTTTGCATTGGCAAGTCCCAGCCAACAAAAATAAGATCACACACAGTATTTTTCTCCCCTAACAAAAGGAGCACTACTACCCACTGTTGCCCAGGTACGGGAAGATTTAGACAGAGGTCCTTCTTCCCATGCAGTAAGACATGATTTTTCATAGGGTGCAAAAAGCAGCGCCTTGTGTTGTGCCAAGTCATGCACGACAGCGTGGCAGAGGCTTTGCAGTTAGGAAACGCGCTAACTGCTGGTTTGGAAAATGCCTTCTGGCTTTCCCAGAAAGGGAAATTTTCCCATTGCCCAAGTCGATACCAACAGAAAACGCTAGTTGGGGGGTGGGGGGTAGGCTGCAGAGTGATCCTTTTTATGCATGGTGGCACTGCCGCTTTCAGTCACTTTGTTCTGCAGTGGCAAGGCAATGACCTGGACGCCCCCTCAGTCAGAACCCGCTTTTGCCCTTGGCCCGCTGAATAAATGAAGCCGGATATTTCCACCGGTCTTCTTGCGGGCTGCGCGGAGGCTTTGCACGCTCTGCTTTGCTGTCATTTGCCGGCACAATCCTCACTGTGAGAAACTGGCTGATCCAGAGCAGCTCAGGGCACGTCAGGTTTTCTGTGCTTTTGCATGCCACTCTCTGGCTAACTGTCTAGAGTGCTTATTCTGTCTGTTAGCTTTTCCATCACCGCAATATTCAAGCGCTTCCACCCTGTCCAGAACTCTTGCATAAAGACATTTTTTTCCTGTAGGCTAGACTCCTTGCAATTATCTATACACAAACTGATCACTCATCTGTTGGTTTGTCACAGTCACAAATTCATGTGCAAGAGCCAACCCTTTTAGATTCACATTGTATTTGAACTCATTTTAACTTTTCTGAAACTGCATTTTCCCACCAGAGTGCTTTTTCTCAAGTAAAAAACCCCAAACCAACAAACCCAACCTTCAAAACATCAAATTGATTTGCTCTTTCTCTTGCTGCAGTATCTTTTACTGAGCAAAGTCACCTTGGGTAAGTAATTAGTGCCTCACTTTCCTCACTAAAAAAAAGGAAACAATAATATTTTTCCAGCTTTGATATCTTTAAGATGGAAAATGTTGCTCCTTATTATTTATTATAATGTTTTACACCAAAATTTAATAACATAAAACTCAGAACCTGAAGGGAAAATGTAA